GAGTTTGTACTAATATACCAGACTGCCATTTGGGGTATCGTCAGCCTGTGTAATTTTTTCAGTGGACAATGGAGAACATTTTACAAGGTCTACCCAGGTCACCATTTATCTAGATGATGCACGAATAACAGGGAAGCAATTCGAGAACTTGCACATAGTCCTTAGACATTTCTTCAAGGTGGATGGACACCTTAGAAGGGAAAGCTGTGAGTTCCAGGCACCCCAAGTGACCTATCTGGGCTACAGAGCTGACAAGACCAAGTTACACCCATTGGAAGACAAAGTGAGGGTGATTAAAATTGCTCCAGTTCCCACATCTGTACAGACATTAAGTCTTTCCTTGGGCTGGTGAATTATTATGGAAAGTTCAGACATTACCTGGTCTCCATCCTGGCACCTTTGCATCAACTCTTAAAAAAGGGTCAGCCTTGGTATTGGTTGCGTAGCCAAGCCAGAGCTTTCAGGGAAGTGAAGAAACAGCTTTAAGTTGTTGGCACACTATGATCCCAAGCGAGGTCTGGCATTGCCATGCAATGCCTCATTGTGCAGCATTGGGGTAGTATTGGCTCATAGGTGGCCCAATGGAGAGGAATGCCCAATAGCGTATGCATCCAGGTCTTTGGCTGGTGCAGAGTGTATATACACTCAGACAGAGAAGGAAAGTTTGGTGATCATATTTGGAGTCAGGCTGGATTGTCCTGTTCTGGTGTCAGCTAGGCGGGGATGAAGCCAGCAGGGTCCCGTTCTGAGTCTGACAGAGGGGCTGTCAGAATGTTACATCTCCCAGTTGCCTGGAGCTGGGCTGCAGTGGGTCCCCCACTACCCCCGGTTCTCACCAGCTAGAGGTTGGGTTTCACTGGGCCTCTTGTTGGGGGAGGGGTCCGGCATTTCCAGGTTGGAGGGGGATGCTCCTCTCCTTTTCCCCCATGGTGCTCTGTCTCTTTTTGTTGATGACTATCCCTCTGCACATCTTCATCATCAGAGGAGCTGCTGGTGTAGCCATCATGCAGCTGCCCCTTTCCCTTTGCTGTGGGTCTTTGGGGGCCTGACGTATTTTTCTTTCCTGGCTGTTTCTCTGCCTCCTTGGTTTCCTTCTGCTCCTCCATTGACTCCATCTGTCCAGGTGGAGGTTGGGTTTGTTGCTGGGCCTCCGCGCTGTCTACTTTTGTCTCACTCTAGCTTGTTCTTCCTTCTGGGTGGCCCTTGTATCAGTTTTCTTGCTGGGAAGTGGCACCTTACTGACCTTTGGGGGTCCACAGCTCACATTGCCACTTCCGGCCATTTGCGTGTAAGTGCCCCCTCCCCGTTTTGGGCAGGCCTTGTACAGGTAGCCTGCTTCCCCACACAGGTTGCAGCTCTTGGATTCCTTGCAGTCCTTAGATGGCCCTTCTGTTTACAGTTCCTGTGGTAGGTCACTTTGCACTCTGCTGCCATGTGCCCTGCCCTGTCGCAGGTTCGGCACACTCTAGGCTGCCTCATGTAAGTCAGGTATCCTCGGCTCCCTCCGATCACAAAGCTGAAGGGCGGGTAGAGGATGTTCCCATTGGCATCCACCTTCAGGGTCACCTTGACCTGCTGCTTGCTGGTCCAGATTCTGAAGGGGTCCACCAGATCAGTGCTGCCTCCTTCTAGCTGCACATACCTCCCTAGGAAGGCCAGGACATCCGCTACAGGGACATGGGGATTGTACACATGGATTGTAATAACCCAGCTCCTCTGTGCAGGGAGAATGAACAATGTTGCCACGGCCAGGACAGAGAGGTGACCTTTACCTCCTTTCTCCTCAAGAACCTTCAGGAGATGCTGACATTGCTTCACACTCCTGAAGGTCACATCAAAGTAGCCCCCACTGGGAAAATCCTGCAGGCAGAAAACATCTGCTGCTTGGAACCCATGGCAATCCAAGAGGACTCTCTTCGTAAAGAATGTCTGGTCAACTGGCGATCCTTTCTCCACAAAATAAAAACCGAAAGAACTGCGGATGCTGTAAATCAGGAACAAAAACAGAAGTTGCTGGAAAAGCTCAGCATGTCCGGCTTGTCAGCATCTGTGAAGAAAAAATCAGAGTTAACGTTTCGGGTCAGGTGACTCTTCTAAGGAAGAGGGGGAGGGATGTAGTGATTGTAATAAGGTCAGCCAGGTGGACTTCATAGAATATTAGTTCCCTGGTTGGAGCTGTTAATCTGGTCCGATAGGGAGCCCGGGCTGACTGATTAAAAACAGGAGTATCAGATATCCTCTTCACCCTGACAGCTGGCTTTGAGGGAGCTGGATCAGTGTCAAGGACTCTCCATGTATAAATAACGGGTGTCCTGGTTACTTGGAATACCAGTCTCTGTGGAGGTTTTTCAATAACATGGTGATCAGAACTGCACACAGTACTCCAGGACTCATCTAAGAATCCTACATGTTTCAACAAGGTTGTCTCACGTTCTACTACATTCCAATGGGTACAGGCCCAATCTATTCAACCTCTTCTTATAAGACAGCTCCTCCCTACCTGGTCTCTGCCTCGTGAACCTTCTTTGGACTGCCTCCAATGCCAGTATATCTTTCCTTAGATAAGGGAATCAAAACTGTTCAGAGTATTCCAGCTATGATCTGAGGAAAACAAAAATTTTCCTTGCATCTAGTCTGTTTAGCCATGTTAAACATAAGAACTAGGAGCAGGAGTAGACAATTCAGCCCCTTGAGCCTGCGTACGATCATTCCTGATCTCATCTTGGCCTCAACTCCACTTTCCTACCCACTCTCATAACCCTTCAAACCATTGCCAATAAAAATCTATCTCCTCTTTAAATTTGCTCAATGTTCCAGCATCCACTGCACTCTGGGGAGTGAACTCCACAGATTCATGACCCTTTGAGATAAGTAATTCCTCCTCGTCTCTGTTTTAAATCTGCTACACCATATCGCTTATTCTAGACTGCCCCATATGAGGAAATGTTCTCTATGTCTAATTTGTCAATCCCTTTCAGCATCTTATATACCTCAATTAGATCTCCTCTTCTAAACTCCAGAGAGCATAGGCCCAAACAGCTCAATCTCTCATCACAAGAAAAACCCTTATCTCTGGAATTAATCTAGTGAACATCCTGTGAACTGCCTCCAATTCAATTTTACACGTTTTAATCAGATCTTCTCTCAATCTTCTAAACTCTGGTGAATACAGGCCCAATGGCTCTTCTGGTTCAGTGATAATATCCCTACCTCTGGGCCAAGTGGCCCAGCTTCAAGTCCCACATGCTCCAGAGATATGTAATAACATCTCTAAACAGGTTGATTAGAAAATATGTACAGACCCAAATCTCTCATGTCAGTCCTGCAATCTCTGGTATCAGCCTAGTGAATATCTTCTACATCCCCTCCATGGAAAGTTCACCATTCATTAAATAGGTAGATCAAAACGTTTGCAATAAGACCATGAGAAAGAGGAACAGGAGTAGGCTGTTCGGCCCCTCGAGACTGTTCCACCTATTTAAATAATATTTAAATAATTTAGGATCAAATAATATTCTTCAGGTCCACTTTCCTGCCCTTTCCCTATAATTCTTGATAAATTGTCCTACAGTAGAAACAAGATGGTGGCAGGGTAAGATGTTCCAGTCGGAGCTCCTCTGCTTGCCAGTTCCTTTTCCTTTTTGTTCTTTTTCTCTCTCCCGCTTCCCTTTGCAGTATTCCCACACCACCCGCCCACCACTTAACTATTTTTAACTTCAACTATTTAACTCCATCCTGAAGAAAGGAGTTGCCTCTGGTGACGGGGCGGGAGCTGAACACGCAGGCTGTGTCCTACAGCGGCAGCAGACCGTGGACCGGAGCGATGTTGGCGGGTCGGAGCGACACCAGGAGGGGCCAAGTCCTGGAGCAGTGGAGGAGTTGGGTACCCCGTGGCGTCGTGGGGGCTGAATCCCAGAGCGATGGGTGGCCAGGAGAGCTCTTCGGCGGGGAGGCGGCTTCAATGGGCTCTGGAACAGCGGCGGTAGTGTTTTCAGAGACAGCGGCTGAATCAGTTGGTCAGCCTGTGAGGTCTGGAGTGGGGCTTTCATTTTCAACGTGGAGTAGGCCCCCGACAGGGGCATGGCGCGGGCTGTTCTAGCCCTGGGCAGGACATGCTCGGCAGCATAGTATGTGCTGGGAAGCCCTGAGCGGGACTCTGGCCATGGTATGGCAGCAAGGAAGGAAAGTTGGACTCTCTTTAAGTTATCTTTCTGTACTATATTCTGTGAATGGCACTTACGTATGAGTCATAGTGCACACTTTTCACTGCATTTTGAATGTACATGACAATAAAGGATATTCAATTCAATTCCCTGTCTGATCTAACTATCTTATCCTTAAATACACACAAAGACTTTGCTCCCACACCCCTCTGTGGCAATGACGTTCAACAACTTTCGATCCTTTGTAAAAAGGCAGTACACCCCATCTAAGGCTTAAACTGGTGCCTATTTATTTCTAAGACTATGCCCCTGGTCTCAGCATTTACCCAGTCAAGTCCCTTACAAATCCTCCACACTTCAATGAGATCCCCTTTCATGCTTTGAAAGTTTCCTCAGTAGTGGTCTACATGAAGACTTTCCCCCCAAACTAATTTATTCAGGAAGGTAACATTGGAAAGCTGTCCAGCAGGTGAGACTTGAACCTGAGTCTCCTGGCTCAGAGGTAGGGACACTACCGCTTTGCTACAAGAACCTCCAGCTTAAAGGACCTGCTCAACTGCAGTTGTATGGCGCAGGTCTCAGCTGGTGTTTGATGAGCTGTTACCAGAGAGCGTGGCCTTGCCCTTTAAGAAGGGTGGAGCCCGGCGAATGATTGACTCGGGCCGTAGCCAACCGCCAGCCCGGGCTGTCGTAAGGAGGCGGGTCCGCGGCTGGGTTAAGGCGGAGATGGGCGGACCCGCACATTTGATTGGCGTACATTCTATCCAACGGTGTGGCCGAGGTGGGCCAATGGCGGCGGGGCGGAGGCGGGACACGGTTGGGCCCTTTGTGGGCGGGGCAGGCGGTGGAGAATGGGCGCTTTGTGCAAGCGGTAGCGGGGCGGCGGATCGAGGGTCTTCAGGCACTGGCGGCTCACCGTGAGTGAGCGGTGTCAGTGCGGGGGTGGGGTTACGGTGTTGTGTGGTTTTACACAGCGGGGGTGAGAGAGAGAGAGAGAGAGAGGGGGGAGTGTAAGCTCCGGGGTGGTGGGGGGGGGGGGTTTGTTTTGTTTTTGTCGGGTTCTTGGGGGGGGGGGGTTAATCCTAAAATGGCGGCGGGGCCTGGGCTCGCTCCCCGGTTATTCCCGGTCGCTCTGCTCCTGGCGGCGGCAGCAGCAGCAGCAGCTGCTTCTTCCTCGGCTTGTCCCCCGCAATGTTCCTGCGACGTCGGCCTGGTGGATTGCAGCAGGCGGCGGGTGGCCGCGATTCCTCAGCAGCTTCCAGCCTGGGTCAAGCAACTGTGGGTATGGGGGGGGCGGGGCGGGCGTGAAGATGAAAGTAAGGGTGCGGGAGGGCCCGGTACACACCGCAGACAGCATCATTGTATCTGCCTGAGCTCAGAGCAGCAGCTCATGTACCCTCAGTCATTACGCTCAGCATCCCTAATGTGTGTGTGTGTATATGTATGTGTGT